GGAGAAGCGGTGCGTCGGTGCGCACCCGGGATCCGAACCCAGGCGGCCAGCAGCGGAGTGCGTGCACTTAACCGCTAAGCCACGGGGCCGGCCCAGCTCACAATTTTTCTTGATACGATAGGGCACATTAGAGTTTTAAAGTCCTGGTTGTCTAATCAACAATTTTCCATTCTGAGTGTGAATATAAATAGTCTAACTTAGCTAACAAAACTATACATAGTACCTATCTTTCCATAATACTCCTGAAGAGGACACCTTAGTCACTATACTAAAGAACACACTTTGGAGACACAGGGTCTGTCTGGATTTGGGTTTCAGTTTAGACACTTAGCTGCCTCTGTGACTTTGAGAAAGTGTATCACCTCACTGAGACCCAGGTTCTCCATCTGTAAAGTAGGAGTTATGCTGCCTTAAATGATGGTTGGTTCATGTGTCAAGTCCTTCCTGCCATCCTACCTTCGCGTTCTGACTGTGACCCGCTACGTTGCTTTTGTGGTTGGTAGGCTTTGGCCCACAGTTCAGAACACACTGTGTAGATAAACAGCTCAATTTAGGGTATATTATCATCATCACTTTTTTTGTGTGTGAGGAAGATTGGCCCTGAGCTAACATGTTGCCAGTCTTCCTCTTTTTGCTTGAGGAAGATTGGCCCTGAGCTAACATCTGTGCCAGTCTTCCTCTATTTTCTGTGTGGGATGCCTGCCACAGCATGGCTTGATGAGCGGTGCATAGGTCCGCGCCCAGGATCTGAACCCTCAAACCCTGGGCCACCGAAGCGGAGTGCGCGAACCTAACCGCTACGCCACCAGGCCATTTTAAAGCAGGTTTAATAGCCTGCTTAATTTTGGCTTAATAGCCAAAAATGGCTCTTTTCCTCTCCTCCCCTCTCTTCCCACCCCCCTCATCTGTACATTTCATTCTCTTTTTCTGACATTCAGATTCCTCGTGGTAAATTGAGGCTAAATAGTTCCTACGTCATAGGCTTGTTGGAGGATTGAGTGCTTATAAAATAATCAGTCAGTGGCAGTGGTGCTATTATTTAAATCGATAGCTTCTAGCTCTTAGTTATCAGGATTTTACCTGCTCTGTGGAACTTTGGGCTCCTGATTTTAAAATACTGCATGGAGATTCTTCTTCATTCCTTACCTCAGGGTCTGTGTTAGGTGCTGGGTTTGCTCGCTTCCGGATTTCCCGCACCTGCGTCTTATGGAGCAGGGAAGTGAATAGATTCTCTATTTGCAGGGCCCTTCCTTCCTTCCTGTTGTTACTTTTCAATCCAGGATACTGGTGCTGTATTATTTATTGAACTACCTGTTGTGTGCCAGGTACCATACTCTAAGTGCAAGAATACATGAATACACAGCCCCTCCCTGCAGGGAGCTCCCGGTCCCTTGGGAGAGTCGGCCTGTGATGGATGGTAGACAGTAAGTGCTGTTTTCAAACATTTAGACATTTTTCAAACATAAAAGACATTCACCTTGAAATCCCAATTTAATAATTCCTTTGCTTAACAAATATTGTTGTGAACTTGTCAGTCCTGACACCAGGGATACAAAGATGAATAAGACTCAGGTCCTGACCTTGAATGTTTTTCAGAGTGGAACGTATTGCTGGTGGTGTGGGAGTGGCTTTAGATGGTACATGACATTGTTAATTATAACCAGTCCATCAAACATGCAATTTCATGGATATTATTGTTTAAGAAAAGATGGAACTAGGTATTTTAGAATAAATGAGTTGTCTTTTTTTTTTCTTTATAATTTTTATTTATTTATTTTTCCCCCAAAGCCCCAGTAGATAGTTGTATGTCATAGCTGCACATCCTTCTAGTTGCTGTATGTGGGACTTGGCCTCAGCATGGCCGGAGAAGCGGTGCCTTGGCGCCCAGGATCCGAACCCGGGCCGCCAGCAGTGGAGCGCGCGCACCCAACCACTAAGCCACAGGGCCGGCCCTAAATGAGTTGTCTTAAAGAAAAATACTTAAATTTTTAATTCAGGTAATATTTTGATATAAACAAATTATAAAGGGTAGTTAGGGGAGCCCCGACCCAGAGAGACAGTGTGACTAATGAAGACACGGAGGTTGAATTGATTAGTTCTGACTGAGGGAAACACAAGGACTTAGTCCTTAAAGGTAAGCTTTAGTTTAATTTTCGATGGAATCCAAATTAATCCAATTTTAATAGTCTGTGTTGTAGTAAGCATTGATCTTCAAAATACATAGTAGCATTACCCGAATAACTATTTTGTTTGACTGTGAAAAGATGCGTTTTCTAGAATATTCATTGCAACATGGTAGTGAAATTGGAAATGACATGAATGTCTAACAGTGGGAAATTGGTTAAAATATTATACATCGATACAGAGGAATAGTGTGCAGCCATCACAAATAATGTAGGTGTGTATAGTGACATGGAAAGACATTCACAATATCTAGATAAGTGGGAAAAAAAGGTGAGGTTAAAAAGTCAGTAATAAAAACCCCAAAGGATGTACTAGCACATTAACAGTGGTTATCTCTTTAGCTGCTGGGATTTCAACTAATTTTTTTTTTACCTTCCGGTATGTTCTAATTATGAAATGAACATAGGTACCTTTTTTTTTTAATAGGGAAAAGTTAAATTTCACATTTCATTTGTGTAGAGGATGGTGTAGCTTTCTGATCCTGCTGTGATTTCTTTCCTTACAGGTGTGGGGGCACAGTTGGTGCTATTTTCACTTGTCCACTAGAAGTCATTAAGACGAGGTTGCAGTCTTCAAGACTAGCTCTTCGGACAGTCTATTATCCTCAGGTTCATCTGGGGACCATTAGTGGAGCTGGGATGGTGAGACCAACAGCAGTGACACCTGGACTTTTACAGGTTCTGAAGTAAGTGCAGTCCCCAGTCCCCACTCCCGGCCCCACTGTCAATGTTTATCAAGCCCATCAGGTGGATATTCTGTTTTTACAGCCTGTGTCCAAACTTAGAAATCAGGTTTCTGTACCAGTACCTTTGAACCCTGACCTTGCTCCTTTGGCAACAGGGCTCCCGGTGTGCATGTGGTCACCGTCCAGGGACGGTTAAAGTAACGTAGCGGGCCGGCCCCGTGGCTTAGCGGTTGGGTGAGCGCGCTCCGCTGTTGGCGGCCCGGGTTCGGATCCCGGGCGGGCACCGACGCGCCGCTTCTCCGGCCATGTTGGGGCCGCGTCCCACATGCAGCGGCTGGAATGGATGTGCAGCTACGACATACAACTATCTGCTGGGGCTTTGGGGGAAAAAAAAATAAAAAAAATCTTTAAAAAAAAAAAAAAAAAGTAACGTAGCAAAGCAAACCAGAAATCCGTGTTTAAATTGTTGCATCAAGGTGTTGTTCTTGCCCAGAATCTTTGAGGGCTCACAAGAAGATGTGGGGTGGTAGAATGAAATTAAAAACTTAAAAATTGCACAAGAGAAGGGTTGTGAATATTTTAAGAGGAAGTAATATGGAAACAAAATGTTTTAATTTTTTACTTTTTATTTGGAAATACTTTTACATTTATAGAAAAGTTGCAATATATATTTAGTAAAGTTTTTGTTTTTTAGATTTTTGTTTCATACCTAGGCTATCAGCCTAATTTATTGTTTTTACTGCATTAAAAAGTCTCATTTGCTTACAAAGTAGCTAAATATTCATAAGTTGAATTGGGCTTATCAGTCTCTGTGCTTAAGGCAAAATCAGGAATTCAGGAGTGTGCTTGACAATCAATGTCTGCGCTTTAGCTTGGGGCCTTGTACTTTAAAAGAGATGTTCAGTAAATGATAGTTGAATTTAACTACTTATGATATTCAGATCTCTGAAACTTATCATTGGAGAAGGGTGTGTTCGAGAAAGACGTTGCTAGTTATCAGTGTAGGTGTTTAGTTTAACCACAACACTTGGCACTATGGACAGAGTTCAGTCACCTTTTAGATAAGGTAGAATGAATTGGAAAGTGCTTAATTTATTTTTAGGTACGTTTTGTTTGTAAACCCTACTTACGAGTCACCCAGGCATCCATGCCAAACGTGTACGAAGGTGCATCTGAGCTGGTTGAGCAAAACTGGACAGAAAAGTAGCTGTGAGGGCAAGGTCCCAAGTGAGAGAATCAGAAGCCCAGCTAGAGAAAGAGGAGGCTGGTACCCAAGACTCCGGGAGAATCACTTTTTTAAATTAAACACTGAGAAGGGGAGTGAAGACACAGAGGGCGGGAGGTCAGGGATGGGCCCAGGAGCGAGAGAGACAGAGATGGGAGGCACACTCGATCTCAGTGAGGAGAGAGTTGGGCCTGTGGCCTCAAAAAGACGTGGCTGTGAAACCCCCCAGCCTGGTTTGCCTTTTTATACATTTAGGCAGCAGCAGAGTCTCAAATGACACCGTTCTTCTGAGGAACGTAGAGTACTTGGGACATAATGAAACAGACAGGTAATTCGCCAACTTTACTAACATCCAAAATGAACTTCCTGTCACCTGCTTACCACATACCTCGTGACTAGTGGATTTATATTTACTGTAACTGGAAAACTGTTACCACAAGTTGTGAGTGTCAACAGGGCCATGCCTGTAAGGTCAACACGGTAAATGGGAATGTTTCTCTAGTTCAAGTTTTTTAGAATGCGTGTTCTACATCTCCAGCAAATCTCTCTCTCTATATTTCCCCTCCAATTAGGACAATTGTTTATTAAAATGTAAATCAAAGAACAAAAGCCTCTCTATCTTTTACGATACGCTAACAGGGCTGGCCCTGTGGCTTAGCGGTTAATTGCGCGCTCCGCTGCTGGCGGCCCGGGTTCAGATCCCGGGCGCGCACCAACGCACCGCTTCTCCGGCCATGCTGAGGCCGCGTCCCACATGCAGCAACTAGAAGGATGTGCAGCTATGACATACAACTATCCACTGGGGCTTTGGGGGAAAAAATAAATAAAAATAAAAAAATTAAAATACGCGAACAATGCCCACACCACAATACATAGAAGACAACCCATTTCCACTGTGGATCTGCAGCAGTCATTGCTTAATGCAGCCACAGCCACACAATAATGAGACATCACTTATGAATACTTATGAATACTTTCTAAAACCATTTATTCTATATTCACATCAAAATATAAATAATGGAATTATTAAGTAAAATTTTGGTCATAATGATATCTTATTGGTAGGGACCAGACCGGCCCGGTGGCGTAGTAGTTAAGTTCACGCACTCTGCTTCAGCGGCCCAGGGTTTGCTGGTTCGGATCCCGGGCATGGACCTATGCACCAGGCCATGCTGTGGAGGCATCCTACATACAAAGTAGAGGAGGATGGGCACAGATGTTAGCTCAGAGGCAATCTTCCTCAAGGAAAAAGAGGAAGATTGGCCACAGACGTTAGCTCAGGGCCAATCTGCCTCACCAAAAAAAAAAGTATTTGTAAAGTGGCGTTTTTCACCCAAGAGCTGTTTTATTAAGGTTTATTTCCTCGGCTTGATATATAAACGTTTTTAAGATTGTCAGCTGAAATTTAATAGCTTTCAAGTTAAAAAATGACTGCAGTCATGCGTTGCATAACGATGGGATGCTTTCTGAGAAATGCGTCGTTAGGCAGTTTTGTTGTGTGAACATCATAGAGTATGCCTACACAAACCTAGGTAGTATAGCCTATACACACCTAGGCTATATGTTACTAATCTTATGGGACCGCCATCATACATGTGGTCCATCGTTTGGTCTGTCATTGACCGAAACGTCATTTTATGCAGCACGTGACTACTTTTATGGAGTATTATTTCATTGCTTTTTCACAGCCCTATGAGATTAGCCCTCAGGTGTGGTATTACCCCTATTTTATAGATGAGGAAATGCAAATTAGGTGTTAAATGACTTACTCAAGGTCATTTTTAATCTATATTCACCTATTTCTGGGAAAGATTTGAAGCCGCTAAGAGGAAACCACAGACCTCCAGCGCAGGCTCCGCTGCTGCTGCTTTGCCCTGGAGACCACTGCAGTTCCCAGCTCAGAGACTTCTAGGACCTGGCTCTCTTGCCTTGCTGGCTGCTGCTGCTCTTTCCTTTGCTGAGTCTCCAACCTGACAACCTCTTTTTTGTGTGAGGGAGATCAGCCCTGAGCTAACATCCATGCTAATCCTCCTCTTTTGCTGAGGAGAGCCGGCCCTGAGCTAACATCCATTGCCAATCCTCCTCGTTTTTTTTTTTCCCCAAAGCCCCAGGAGATAGTTGTATGTCATAGTTGCACATCCTTCTAGTTGCTGTATGTGGGACACGGCCTCAGCATGGCTGTACAAGCGGTGCGTCGGTGCGCGCCCGGGATCCGAACCCGGGCCGCCAGTAGTGGAGCGCGAGCACTTAACCGCTAAGCCGTGGAGCCGGCCCCCTGACAACCTCTTGATGTTGGAGGGCCCCACGGCTCGGGCCTTGGCCCTCTCCTCTAGCTACAGCCCCTCCTTCAGAGATCACATTTAGTGTCATGGCTTTAAATACGTTCTGTAAGCTGACAGCCTTTCTCCTCTGAGCCTTGCACTTTACGTCCAGCTGTCTGTGACATCTCATCTTGGCATTCAAAGCGTAACTTGTGCAAAACTGAACTCCCTAAAACCTGCTGCTCCTGGAGTCTTCTCTTTGTCAGTTAAAAGCAACTCCATCCTTTCTGCTGTGCAGGTCTAAAGCCTCAGAAATAAGATCCAAGGATGGATCTACAGTAAACTCTAACTCTGCCTCCAAAATACATACAGAATCTGACCGCTTTTCACTACTTCCTCCACTGCTCTCCTGGTGGAAGCCACCATATGTCACCTGTGTTACTGAATTAGCTTCCTACCTGGTCTGAGACATTGCTCGCCCTCCATCCTCAGTCTCTTCCCAGCAGAGCAGCCGGAGAATCGTCTGCTCAGATCCCTCCAGGGACTACCGCCTCCCTCCGAGTAAAAGCCAGTGCTGTCCCTGCAGCCGACCAGTCTCTACACAGCTGTCACTCCTCCCATTACTTCTCTGACTTCGTGTCCTGGTCTTTGCCCTCCCACACCGCTTCAGCTACACTGGCCTCCTTGCTGTCCCTTTAAAAGACCGGAACATTGGAACATTCCACTGCAGGGCCTTTGTACTGGGCATTATCTGCATGACTGGTTCCTAATTGTCACTTTTGCAGGAAGGCCCTGCAGTGACCGTGCTCTTTAATCCTCCCCCATGCCTCATCCCTCCTTCCTGCTTTATGTTTATTCACAGCTCTTACCTCCATCCAGCATACAGGGTAGTTTACTTATTTATATGGCTTATTTTCTCTCCCTGCCCCCACCAGAATGGAAGTTCCTTGGAGGCAGGGACTTTGATTTGTTTTGATCAGTGAGGTATCCCCAAGCGACTAGAATGCTGCTCATCACATAGCAGCTATTCAGTACAAATAGAGTGAATGGATGAATTTGGTTTGCTTTTTGGGTGAAGATTGGCCCTGAGGTAATATCTGTTGCCAGTCTTCCTCTTTTTGCTTGAAGAAGATTGACCCTGAGCTAACATCTGTGCCAGTCTTCCTCTATTTTGTATGTGGGATTCCTCCACAGCATGGCTTGATGAGCGGTGTGTAGGTCCGCGCCAGGGATCCAAACCTGAGAACCCAAGCCGCCAAAGCAGTGTGTGTGAACTTAACCACTTTGCCACTGCACTGGCCCAGAATGGATGAATCTTGGCACATCAGTAAGATATTGCATATAAAGAGCTTAACACACACCCCTCTCCCTGCCATGTTAATAATAAAAATTAGCTGCTGTCATAATATGTACTTTCTGTACTTTTTAAACGTAAGATTTATAGCTGAGTTTCTTAGTAGCCAAGGCAAAAAGGGGAATATCATATTACATAATTCTCATCTGAAAGCACACTC